AGAAATACGTATCGTTTTTTTTTCCTGATCCAAACTGTTTAATATCTGAAAAATGGGGAAAGTACAAAGAACGAAATAAAAACTCTTTATAAACCACCGATTTTTTTTTTTTTTTTTTAAATATTCCAAGAAAGGCTTCTTTCTCCCTCCTGAACCTGGACAGTCTCCCGATGCCTCTAGGGATGCAGATAAAGTGCCACAGGCAAATCTTTGATCACCGTGCCTTCCCCAGGCCCTCTGCAGCTCCCCGTTGAGGGAGTGTCAATGCGTGTTTATTGAATTGTTGGAGAATGACATTCAGGGAGGTGTGACAGCCTGCTGAAATGTGAAAGGGTTAAAGGATAATTAAAACCTGAAACTGGACAAAGGAAGTCTATACCTTAGGCCTAGTTTCTGTTACTACATTCTGTTAATCATGAAACTTGTAACGATGAGCTCATACGCTAACTGCCCATTTTAGCCTGTGTAACCCTGCTTGCTTGTGTGGCATGAAAAATAATCAATTGTATATAAGCTGAAAATTACTGTTTGGCTATTGCCCATGGGAACATAGACAATCACCCATAGGAACTTAACATTCTACCACAAGCTTTCTGCTTCTGTACTCCCCGCTTGCACACCTGACCAGTGGGTTGACAGGTAGTGAATAGGAGAGAAATAGACCTTTGTGTTTAAGACAGAAAGAAGAATGGGATTTAGGGCTTAAAAACCTTGTATCTTGGCATTTCAGGGCTGCTCCTTTGTACAGGACAGCCACCGGCTAATAAACAGCCTTTAAGAGCATACGTGGTTTGGTCTATTCTATACAGGCCACAACAGAAGTATTCTAAGCCTGTGGGTTTCCAACTTCAGCAACATCAGAATCGCCCGCTGAGCTTGTTAGAACACAGATCGCTGGGCCCGTGCCCTGGAGATTCTTATTCAGGGCTGGTGTGGAGCCTGAGGATTTGCATTTCTGAATGTTCCCAGGTGACTCCGATGCTGCCGTTGCCACGACCACACTTTGAGAACCAGACGCAGATATCATCCCTTTAGAGAGCACCAGGTCAATGGCTCCCAAACGTGAGGATGATTATCAAAATCATCTGGAACACTATTCTAAAACAGAGATGTTTTAGCCCCACTCCAGTCCGATGGGATCTGTTGTAGCTGGAAGCTTTAGAGTACATGTGAATCACTACAGTCGCTTGTCAAAATGTAAATTCGCAGTCTAACCCAGAGGGAAGGGGCGTTTTTACCTGTTGTACCAGGTGATTCTTGGAGGCTCACGTTGCCGAAAGCTGCAACAGAGATTCCTCAGGACTGCTGATAAGCCGATGAGGGAGGAAGCGAGGCCAGCCTCCAGGTCTCTTTCCATTATTTTCATTTCGCTTTCATGTTTTATGTTAGAGCCTTTAAAAAAAAAAAAACCACCAACGTTATAAATCTTCTGTGTCCTTTGATTTGAAGTGCAAGGTCGAGATTTTAAATAAGAAATCGGATGTGCCTAGAGGTTACTCGATAAATGCCATGTTCGGTGAATCCATGAGGAATAAAGAAACGAATCCAAATCTTACTTCCCTTTGTATGTTCTTGTGGTATTTCCAACACCTGTGTGATATAAACACTGTAGAACATTCATGCTCTCTGTGCTAGCAGTCATGGTCTTTCGAGAATCTGGAATAAGCTAAAGTAACAGAGAGAACCAGTCTGATTAACATGATATGGGGCCAAATTCCAGAATCAGCGGTCTGAATAAAGACTTTCCGTAAGAGGAGAATAAAAATACCTTCTCCCGATGTTGCTCTCCACTCCTCCCTCCCAGTTTTAGCTTCTTCTAGACTTCCACATGCTGCAACAGGCAAAAAAGACATGGGATAAATCGGCTTCCGCCTTGCCATTTTGTATCACCCTCCAATATGGAAAGGAAGGACCTCCGCTCAGGGATCACTCTGAGCGGAGGTCCCTCTGGCTTTCTCCACTGTGCCTTTTGCTTGGGGAAGAAGATGTGCTGGACCAAGAGGACAAGCCCTTAGAATTCCCTTCCCAAATGGCTCTGAGCTCACAAACAAGGCCTGCACAAGACCCTTCCCTGAGTCTGTCCCCCCAGGTGAGTATACTCTGTGCCCAGTGGGTGGCCAGGGGACAGCTGCCAGCTAGGAATAGGAACAGAGCTTGGACGGGTCATCTGTAGCATCCACACACATGCATTCCATGGGTGGGAGGCCCCTTAAAATGCAGGTCAAGCGGGGTTGGAAAGAGGAGAACCAGGCCATAGGCCATGGGCCATGGACCACGGGTAGGGGAATGAAGTAGAGTGAAGTGGAGATGGATGTGGCTGTTACCACATTGCAATGTTTCAGCGTGGAGCTCTGAGGACTCTGTGAATTCTAAAATAAGAACTTTCTATCTCATTATAAAAGTTGGTTTGTCAAAATAGGAAGGCAGAATATATCTTGTTCAACAGTTTATTTAAATAGATTTATAACTTTTATATAGACATATAGTATATGTGCTTCCACTTGTACCCTTGATCCAGTTCCCATACAAACGAGGCAGGAGCAGATCTGAGGCCATTTGTGTTCAGCTCAAAGTAACTTGTTCTGGGCCGTATCTCCTGATGACCCTGGGAGCCCATAGGACTTTGTCTCGCTCTGCCGATAAGCCTAGAAGAACGTGGCCATACTAGACTATATATTGGTACTTGGCTCATTCCTCAATATTTACCTTCGGTAGACCCAAGGTGGTTCCTTCCAGCAAATATTTGAAGACCTCTTATGTAGTAGGCATTTTGAATGGTGCAGTAGGAGAAACGACAGTGGACAGGAAAGACTCACCCTTGTCTCCGAGGAGCTCACAGTCTGGCGGGGAGACACACATTAAACAAATGCAGTTAAGAAGTAATTCTACAAGTAACTAATTGCAATTCTCACAAATGCTACAAAGGAAAGTACAGAGGGCCAAGAGAATAGATAACAACAGGGGGACAGAACCAGGTCTGGGGGTGCAGAGAGAACATCCCTGAGGGAGTGGTAGTTAAGCTGAAGGATGAGCAGGCCATTTGAGGGGACAGGAAGCAGCATCACCTGAAAGCAAGCACTCAAGAGAGGACGGCAAGACATGTGAATAAGCCTTGAAGTGGGAAGGAACTTGACGCAATAGAAGAACCGAAAAAAAATGAGTCTGGAGCATAATGTACAAGATAGTAAAATAATGCTACAGAGACAGGCAAGGGTCAGCAGTACAGGTGCTTAGAGATCACATTTAAAATATGGAGTTTTAGTCAAAGTGCAAAGGAAGGCTTCGAGATTTTAACCAGGAAGCAAATATTCAGAAATATGGTTTGGAAGATCACTGTAGGTGTGAAACTGAGTGCTTAGAGACCAAAGAGTCATAGATATATTTTCAAGTATATGAGGATTTGAATAACTTTATAAAAACATTACCAGGTCAGTAAAATATCTCTTCTGCAGAAAAATTCAAAACTGATTTTTCCATAGATTAAAAGTTGTAGGGTACGGTATATCAAACTGGATTCCCTGAGAACTCCTGGAGGTGGTCCATGTAGTAACCCCGCCTGGGAAATGATGCTCTAGGAGTTAGATGTGGAAGGACTCGGAGCGGGGTCCAAGGGGCCAAGACAAAAATCTGGAAGTTATTGTGGGGGTGCAGAAATTATGGTAATTTAGACTAGAATAGTGGCAGTAAAGACTGAGAGAAACAGACTGGTTCCAAAAGGTAGAATATTTGACACTTGTGGTTGATTAGATCAACAATTGAGGGAGACAGAGGTACCAGGCTTGATAACCAGACTTCGGGCAGATACAACTGAGCTGATGGTTACTAGCAAGATAATGAGAGTTAACAATTATGTACTGCCTGTTATGTACTAGGACTATTCTAAGCACCCTAATGGTAACTTATCAAATTCTCACAACATCTGAGGTGAGAACTATTATTCTCTACATTTTACTCATAAGGAAACTGAGACTCGCAGAGGTTAAGGAACTTACTTAAGGCTGTTGGCTGGTCTGTAGCCAGGACCATGGCCAGTAAACCTGCCTTCTCAGGATCCGACAGAGAAATGACAGTCAGGAAGGAAAATCTGAGTTGGCTGATTCTGTGCTTTAGCTTGTATGAATGAATATAAGTCTGTTTTCCTGGGTGCGTCTTTTCAATCCAGCCCTCTTCTGGTGGTTCACAGTCTCCTACCTGGAGCCCAAAGCTCCTATAAAGGAACTTTTGTCCATGGATGGCTGCTCAATTTATTGTTTCTGCGGGGGGGATGTGAGCAAGGGGTCGCCATCTTGCTGACCCAGAGCAAACACATTAAAACTAAACTGATGGTATTTGGTAATAGTTCTTAGAAGAATTATGATAGACAACGCTTCTCACATGTAGCGTGTGGCATCTTACCTTTCATGAAAAAAAAAATCCACATTTCATGTAGATCTCTGTGGTTTTCTTCCTGGGCTAGGAACTCTCAGGGTATCTGTTTTAGGAGAAAATCATAGGCCAATAGTCACTCTGCCAAAGACCCTTCTGTGTACTAGTCTTCCCCATCCTGCCTGCCCCAGTTTCAGACTTAGTACTTCTACTTCCATTTTTTATATGTTGCAAGCCCTTTCCTCATCCAATCTGATCTCACAGGAAACATAAGTAAAAATAACCAAAGTGGATTGGAAAAGAGAAAATTATGACCGAAAACATTCATTCACCTAATTTATTTTCATTGGGCTGAAGGCAAGTATGAAATGTGGGGATATCTCTGAAAATTAGGATAGAAAACAGAGAAAAATGATTTCTTCATTCTCCCTGACCATACTTTTCACATCATCTTCCTGGTTTGTTATATTACTCACAGAAACACACTTGACCCCACCTCCTGATATTGCTCAATATTTGCTTGAGTGAAAGAGACTGAGGCAAGCTAAAGGAGAAGTTCGCATTACCTTCTGTCCACCACCTGCTAAAAAGCCAGGCCAGCCAAGTCCTCGCCATTCCATTGTGCTGTTAGAGAGATGGGACAATCACACCAGCTGCCCCTAGTGGGGCTCCTACCATTTGCCCTTATTCCAAGCCAACTATGCACCATCTGTGGTGAGTGTGCTTGGGGGTAAAATTAATCTCGTGCGATAGTCTCCTGATGGTTACTGACAGGGACTTTGTATATAGAGCTATCTGAGAAAAGATCTTATTTCAGTTCTATATGTAGTTGGACTCTATGAGTAATGTGAAGGGTGGCAGGAGGTGGTAAAGAAAGTTCCACCGTGTATGTCATTTTGAAAGGGACCATAATCAACATTAACTTGCCTGACTTGCCTAACTTCCTATGCTCAGATCCTCTCTACCATGGAAACACTGCTAAGTAACTGTCTATTCTTGTTCATTTTCAATGACAGAAAATTCATGACCCCGGAAAAACTTCAAGATCGTGAAAAGTTATTTTTTAATTTTGAGATGCAATCTATTTTCTGAAGTTCAATCCACGGGTTTTGTAACTACACAGAAAAAAAATAATGTTCATAATCCCTTTCAAATAATGAAAACTGCTCTCCTGTTGTTGTTGAGTTTAGATGTCCCAAGCTACACATCTCCTTCCCTTCACTCTTCTCCAGGGGCCTTAGGTACAAGCCCCATCATCCCTCTTCTGGCTATAGAATCCAGAGATTATGTGATTGTATTAAAAAATAGCAAGTAAGAGAAAGAAAAACTGGGTTCACGTCTAGTCTGAACCCTTAGTAGCTGAACGATCTAATGTTTCTGAATTTCTTTAGCTTCATTTATATGGAGGACAATTGGGGAAGGGTGTTGAAGCAGGCGATTTCTTTAAGATCTGATGTAGCTCCCAGGTGTGTGATTTCTTCATATAAGTATTTACCCTGGAATTGAGTTCAAATCAGTCCAAAGATGACTATGTGGTGGTGCCATCTGTGGCTACATTGTCCTGGTATGCTTCTCATATGCAAGAAGAGATCAATACCACAGCAGGAAGACATGTATTCACACAAGCTAAAGCACAGAATCTGCTAACTTTAATTTTATTTCCTGGCTTGTCATTTCCTCTGTTGTATCCTAAGAGTAGAGGGCCTCTATTGAGGTTCTGAAGTTCAATTCATTGCACAAAATAATTAACTCTGTCTTCAGTGGTCAAGGAAGCTGTCTGTGCCATATGTATAACTAAATATTTTAGTATCACCCATTCCCAGCCTTAATATTTTCTCTGTGTGTTCCTTATTTCCTCCTCCCGCTGCCACAGAGGTAAGCAAAGAAAATCACTCCCGTCTGAACCCTCTGATAAACACAATGATCAATTCAAAATATACCAGAGGAATCCAAGCCGCCAATGTCCTGTTGTCCCTCAGACTTGTTGGGATCCAGGACCAAAGCTTAGAACAACAGCTGATCCAACAAGTCAAAGACAATGAGGGACAGAAAGGTGAGTGCCTATATTCTCTGCAGTGAGTCCTAAAAATTGTATGTCCAAGGTATGCCTGCTATATCTAGCTTTAACTTGAGGTGACAGAAATGTCCCTCAAAATATCAGTCCCCTGGCACTTACTCTAGAGCGAGGCCGTACATTTTTTGGGTCCTGAAAACCATTTTCCTTCAAGAAGTCGCAAGGAAAAATAAAAGAAATTATAGACTCTTATCCATTAATACTGTCCTATAAGCTAGCTGAGTTCACAACCAGACAAAGATGCGAACCACAACTAAGAAACTTGACAACAGAGAGAAAACCATATAGTAAGAGAGGTGTGGCCTGGGTTCGAGTCCAGCCTCCACCTTGGGGCTTTTATGTCAACACTGGGCCTCAGCTTTCTAATTAATATCAGGGGAAAAGGAAGCTACACCTACCTCCCTCTTAGTATAAGAATTATGAAAAACCTGAGAGTTTTGATACTCTATAAGGCGGAATGTCAAAGTCAATTATTACTATCCCTGCAAGATGGCATTTACAAAAAGAGGAAATCCCAAGATTTTATTATTTATCTATTTTTCTTCTTGTTTTTTAAGACATACAAGGATTGCATGATTCCAAAAAGAGCCCATGATTTCATGAGAAAGACTAAGGTCTAGCTTGCATTTTTACAGTACTGCTAGAAAAGACTCTGCTTGGGGAATAAAGACGAGAACAATAAAAGATTAGTATAGAGAGGAACAGAAGAAAGAAGTCACAGGCACCATAAGTCACAAGGAAGACAGGAGGCCCCCCAAGATCACAGGCATGTACCTTGTTAAATTTGAATACTTTTCTTTTCAGGGTCAAATTTAACCTCAGGACAGCTTGCCTTGGTTATACTGGCTTTGGGGACATGTCAAAACTCCAATGAAACATTCACGTATTCTCACTTAGTCAGCCAACTAGAAAAGAAATTCCAAGCAGAAATCGAAAACATGGGTGAGAATCAAATGTTCAGAGACCCTGGACAACCCCGCCTTCTCCACTGCTGATTCAGAACTGTCTGAAGTTTCCCTCCGCTCTTTCCTTCTCCTCTTCATCTCCTTCATCTCACTCTATCTTCGTAGATCACCTTCGCTTCTTGCTGCTTTCACCAGGACCTTGAATTTTGTTTTCAAATAAGATCAACCGAGAGTTGACCCTACATCAAGCACTACCCTATACATGATGATGAACATGCACACTCACACACACACGCACACTCACACACACACAAAACAGTTTTCTAGTCCCCCAGAAGTTTGCTTTGTAGACTAATAATGAATTACCCAGGAAACAGCCGAGCAATACAAGACACGGTGTCATAGTACCAAAGCATACACTACTAGCATAAGAGCCAAAGATGGCCAGAAGTACTTTCTCACTGAGAAAAATAGGTTAACCCTCATGGCTTCGAGTGAGGTGCACTGTTATTATTTCAACTCCTACCTAATATTCTATTATTCGTTAAGTCTCTCCTCTCCCATCTTCCCTTGAGATGACCTCTATTTCCTTCACTTCTACATATACTTTCAACACGTTACTATTGAAAGTGCAAGAGGCATGGTGGTGGGAAATCTGTGTTCTAGTCCTGTAACCACCCGAATATCGGGATAGTATTTTAATCTCTTTCATGCCAGATCTTCTCAAGGATAAAATAAAAGGAGTTGAGTTGAATTTAGTGGCTCTTAAGAGCCTTTAAATTTCTCAAGTTTGCTGATTCTGTGAGTGATCTCCCCCCTTTCTATCACTCACCTCTGCTTAAACATAGAGAAACGGGAATAGAGCGAGCAGGAAAAGATTGCAAATGGATCCCTCCAGTACCACTTCCATGAGTAAGATATTTCTTTTCTCTCTGCTAGGAGTACATGACGGCAATCCACTGACTAATTACTACCAGCTCAGCCTGGACGTTTTGGCTTTGTGTCTGTTCAATGGGAGCTACTTGATCACCGAAGTTACTAAACGCTTCACTCCTGAAGATAAAAACTTCTCTTTTGGTGGTCAGTTCTCAGTAGGTGAGTCATTAAACCCAATTCCCTTGGTAGAAAGGACATGGTTAGCAGTAGCTCTTGCCCTAGGATTTTTTCCTGCCAGGAAGCACTTAGATTTTTTTTCTAGCCTGTCTACCCTAGTCTCCGCGGAAGAGAATTTTCTTTTTGAGAAGACTGGGTATTGCATGGCAGTCAAGTCTCTTTCTAAATGTGTAAGACCTGGTTCCTAGCTTAGCTCTTATTTGAGTTATATAACCAATGGATTTTTATCTCTTGACTTTATTTTCCCATCTGTAAAATAAGGATAGTTCATGAGAATCTTCATATAGGACATTTTAGGAAGTATAAGTATTAGAGAAAGAGAATGAAGTGGAATTCATTTATCTCAACCCCTGCCTCTTTCTTCAGTTTATTGGAACCATTTGGATGTGTAAGTTTACTTGAATGACACAATCTCTCCGGGTGACAAGGCCCAATATTTTGATCAATAAAGTATGTATTCACAATGGGGAAGGACCAGAAATTTTCCACTGGGTCAGCTTACACATCCAAAAAGAAGTCTCCTCTAGACAGCTAGTATTGGTGCTCAGCCCCTATGGATCCAGATACGCAATCTCATCTTTCTCCAAGAAGCTCAAGGAGGATCATTCAGTATCTCTAGGTAGTAAGGAAAATGTGAGATTTCTCCTAATCCTTTTCTTATGAGAGAAGGAAGTCACCACACCTAAGAAACTTAGGGGGAACCAAGTAACAAGCCAGGAAAAAAAGATCTTGTTCTCTCATCTTCCAATCTCTTGCCTCATCATTTTCCCTCTTAAGAAGGTTTATTGGGAAATAATTCTCTTGAGTGCTATTTTCTAATCAGTCTAATGAAAATCTTGAAACATGACAAAGACATATTTTGTTTGGCGTATCATCCTGCGTTTTTTCCCAATCCCTTTGCCAATATGGTTGAACGATGAAAAAATGAGAAAACCCAAGATGAAAAAGGGAAAGACAGTTAGTGTGTAAGCACCTACAACTCCATGTGTGTTTCTATGACTAAGATATGAGTCATTAAGTACGAGGCACATGGCTACTCAACTTAAGGAAGGAGTCTTGGAATATTCGAGTGGTTAATGCTGGAGGGATGATTGCTGGATTTTGAAACCCTTCTCTCCCATCATCGACTAGCATGACTAGCCATCCCAGTTTGCCTGGATCTGTTACTCTTTTAGCGCTAAAATCCCACATATCAGGAACCCCATCAGTTCTGGCCAAAGTGGGATGTTTTGTCATTCTACCACCAAGGTTTTGTTCCTTGACAGATACTGGTGCAATGGCTGTCTTGGCTTTGACTTGTGTGAAGAGAAGAATAATAAACGAGAAGATTGAAGCAGACGAAGAGGATTTAAATCGTATCAATAATCATACAGAGCTACTGGTGAAAAAGATTCTGTCTGAGAAAAAAGAAAACGGTCTCATCGGAAACACTTTTAGTACCGGAGAAGCTATGCAGGTAAGTCAGAGGATAAAACAGGAGTTGAGAAGGGAGTCATGGGAGAAAGTAGTATCTTTATCCTTTCTTATTGGTCTCCCAAGATCTTATTGTTCATTCTGTTCCTGTCTTACCTTTGATTTCACTCGTATGATTCCACTCCCCTGCGTGAAATGTATTCTCCTCACCTTCAAATCTTTACCTTCCCATATCCAATGCTTCTATGAAGCTTCTCTTGACTACAATTTACTTAAGAAATTCTAGAGTCTACTACGACTACAATCTGTCTTTCTATCACATGTAATTTCACACTTTATCATATACCACTGTTTTGTGCTTTCATCCTACCTTCCAAATCAGATTACTGTGATAGAAGTGGTAGTGGCGATAACAGCAGGTCGTATTTATTGACGTTAACTCATTAATGCACACATAATGAAGAAAGAATTATTACTACCATTTCCTATAATAAGAGCATGAGTCATGGAGTATCAGTAACTTGCCTAATATTACAATGCCAGAAAGTGATGCAGGCAGGGACGGGACCTAACCAGTTGGTTTCAAAACTCACACTCAGCACCTATACTGTCCTGTCTATGTTCCTTAAAGTCTGGGACTTTATTCCTGCACCGATTTACCCCACCGTACAGGGCTGGATACAAGAAGAGATGAAGGAAAGTTTACAGAAAAAAAAGGTTTTGCCGAATCTTTGATATGAATAGGGATTTGCCAGGCTGACTCAGGAAGAGAGAAGGGATGGAGAATAAACAAGGACAAAGACCAAAGGCACCAAAGAACATTACACATTTTAGGGCAATTGAGGTGAGGTCAGCATTGGGTCCTTGGGAAAAATTACTAGACAAGGCTGGTGCCGTAGGCAGGGATCCAATCGTAAAGTTGTTTGTATTGTTGTTGCTATTCGTGTTGTCTGCCTTGCTAAGTTCCAGTTTTATAAAACAAGGGCTTCTCATCCTGACTGCACATCTGAATCACCAGGAAGAGCTTTTAGAAAAGACTCATGCTTAGGCCCTACTCCAGCCAGTTAATACAGAAATTTAGGGGTGGAGCATGAGCCTTGGTCTTATTTAAAAGCCCCACAGATATTAATTCACAGCAGGACCAAGAGCTTCCTGCCCACAAGACAGTTTTTAAGAGCTCTCATATGATCAGTTTAGTTTTTTTTTTTTTTTAATAACCTACAAATGCTTACAGACTACTTGGTTAACCTTAAGAGTCTTCAAGTAAAGATGAAAATGGCGGGGGGGGGGGGGGGGGGGGGACTGCTCTCCTGAGAAACTACACAGCAACACCTTCAAGTCTGACACATTTTACTCCTTGTCCTGCTCACTCTAACACCTACCCCGTAATTCTGCCCTTTCGATCCAGTTTACATCTGCTGCCTGGACAGTTCCTGTTCAGAAACTTTATTAAACATCTCACTGCCCAGCAAATAATGTTCGATGCCGCACCCTGAAATTCAAGGGTCTACCAGTCTGGCCCCGACCCTCTCCAGATTGTTCTTCCACGTGGCCCTGACTCTGTCCAGGCAAGGAGAATTCTTGGGGCTTTTGCTAAAACGCAGATACTCGCGGCACGACCAGGCCACGCCCACCCTGGCCACTCCCACTTGAGCACCTTGAGTCATTCTCCCATCGCGTCACCTAATGAAGTGCCGCCATGCCGTCAGGTCACATTGTAAGGCCATCCTCAAGTACTGACCCTGCCACCAGACCCTTCCTCAGCCCCACTAGATGTGTAGAGTTCTTGCTCTTTGCAAAGCTGCCCCACTGGAGCTTCTCTTAGAGCATTCACCTGCGAGGCTCCTTTTCCAACAGTTTGTCTGTTAACGATATTGAGGGAGTGCCTCCTATGTGACCAGCATTGTTTCAGGGCTGGGGATACAAGAGCGCACGTGGCAGACAGAGCCTGTTCTCACTGGTGTTAGTACAGTTTGTGATACTACGCAATTCCCCACCTCCCCACCCAAAATAGTTCATAAGCTTCTTGATGTCAGGAAAGGTATCTTAGTCATCTAAGATGCCTCTTGTGTAGTCAATGTTCAATAAATATTTACTGAAGTCCTTAGAGGTAGGCAGTCCCCTTATTTGAAGTTTCTCTCATTCATTCTTATTCTCTCTCTCTCTCTCTCTCTCTCTCTCTCTCTCTCTCTCTCTCCTCTCTCTCTCTCATTAGGCTCTGTTTGTCTCATCAAAATATTACAACGAAGGTGAATGGAATTGCCAACAAACTCTGGACATGGTGCTCCAGGAAATTTCTCGGGGAGCATTCCGTACACCAACTGCTGCAGCCCAGATCTTACCTGCCCTGATGGGAAAGACCTACCTGGACATCAACAAAAATTCTTTTTGTGTCAATGGTTCAGGTATAGCACTAAAGAGCAAACTGTTTTTGCCTTTTGACATAACACCCAGAGCACATGAGATTTAGATGTCTTTAGGCACCAAAAGTTACCAGATAAAGCTCTAAAGCATCACAGTTCCTAGAGAGAACTCAGTCCTTGATATATGAGTCATCACAGATTGGAACCACCTGAGGATTTGTTCTTAACAAGGTAGTAGATGTTGTTCTTGGCTCAAACACTGATAAAC